AAAAAAAAAAAGGTATAATCAAGGCTGGAGGAGTGGCTTAAGAGGTACAGTGCCTGCCTAGCAAGTGTGAGGCCCTAAGTTCAAACCCCAGTGCCACCATAATAAATAATAAAATAAAAAGATATCATCAAGATAGTAAAAAGTATAGCTCACAGAATGGAAAATAATATTTGCAATATATATCTAAAAAAGGGAACCCATTCCCATAACACATAAAGAATTTCTACAAATCCATAAAGAATTTCACACAACCCAATAGAAAATTGGACAAAATCATACACAAACGCTTCACAAAACAGAATATCCAAATGGCCAAGGAACATACAAAAAGGTAGCAAATCCCATTAGTCACCTGCAAAGTGCAAATTAAAATGCAATGAGATACCACTCCATAGCCGTAGAATGGTTAAAATTGAGACCAGTCTACCTTTTGAGCAGCACATGGAGAAAAGAGCCTCCATATATACTGCTGGTGAGAGGGTATAGCGGTAGAACCATGTTAAAGAGGTTTTGCAGAATCTATCAAGGCAAAGCTACATCTCATGATCCAGGAGCTTTACTCCTAGGTGTACATGTTCCAGGAAAGACACAACAATATCCATAGCTCAAGCTGGAGGCTACCTGAATGTCCATTCAGAGGCAGAATTGATAAATCAGATTGGTATATTTTTACAGTGAGTTACTAAACGATCGAAAACTACAACCACACACAACAGCAAGCGTGTGTCTCACAAACAACATGTTGAGTGAAAAAAGACACAAAGGTGTAGTGTATAACGTATAATTACATTTACATAAAGCTCAGAAACAGGCAGAGCCAATCTGTCTCCTTCGAAGACAGGATAGAGCTTTTTCTTCCCAGGGTTTGAACTGGAGGGGGGCCTCTGGGGTGCATGGACTTGTTTAATTTGTGAAAAGGCATCAAACTGGATGCTTACAGTAGGTGCATAAAAGTGAACACTATAATTTACACATCCAATAAAATCTCACTGCATGATACTTTATACTTTTCACTTTATTTCCGATTATATTTGGAGAGGCAGATTTTACATGATAGCTTCAAACCAACCATTGTACATTAACCAAATTTTACACAAGCCATTTGAAAAAAGATCTAAAAATGTGCTTAGTTATTGGTATTATATAACATTTATCAAGCACCAAGAGTGTGCTGAGAGTTGTACAGAACAAACTTAGAAAAGATATAGTTCCTGCCTTCAAAGGTACCCATTCCCTCAGGGTCTTGCATGAAAACATCATCTTGCATTTCACACTCTTTTGTTCATAAGGCATAAATAAGGAAGTTTGCTGCATTTCTCCTTGTTACTTAATAAATATCTAATACCCTTTTCCCCAGGTATACCAACAATTACTCATATTTTTGCCTTTAAATATAAATAAGTGTCCATAATACAATATACAGTATATGCTGATTTTGTATTCACACAATTGACCACAACATTTTTGCAGGTTGGTTATAATATGAAGCAAGTTGAATTTTGACATTCACAATTTTTATACAACTTAATAGAATCTTTTACTATTGGCAGAGGGTTTTTTTTTCTGTTTATAAACAAATAAGGTGACACTGTAAACAAAATATCACACTGCCTTGATTCTAATAAGGGTGTTAGAACTATGGCACAGATATTCAGAACAGTGATGTCAGCACACCTACTAAACTAGCCTTGCCATTATCAGTCACATAGATGCGCACCCTAAATTATGAGCCATTTATGATCAACTGGTAATGGATGACGTCAGTATGATTGGTTTCATTTATTTTCAGTTTTAACAAGGGAGTACTGGCATAAACAGAAATCTGTGAGCTGGGAAAAATGTGTTTTGCTTTTCTGCAAGGCTGTGTTCAAAGCAAATTCGGATTAGAAAAGAGGATGGGAATGATTCTGAATTTAACCATTTGTGAAGGACATTTGATTTCAAACTAATCCTTTCAATACTAACATCTGATTTTTTTAAATGCAAGAAGAGTGAAGCAAATTTTGATCATGTAGTGACTGTAGACTCAGGTACATGGAATTGTACTTTACACAAAAATGCTGGAGAATGTGGTGAAAGATGGCGTCCAGTACAGAGGACAGGCTAGTCCACCTGTCACCTGGGGGAGGAGCTCATTGCAGTAGTTGATGGAGGCACATATCAGAGGGGTGAGTAGATGTCTCCCTCTCAGCCAGACTCCATCTCCATCTTGCTCCATTCTGCAAACTGAGGGATGGAGAAGCTGTGGTGAGTCTGGGTCACAGACAGAAGGATGAAATAAACTTTCAACCATGAATTTCACCTTCTATAGGTCCCAAGCATCTATGAGATTCCAGAAATGGCAAACATGCATCACTTCAACACCAGACTTGGTACCATCAGACTGAGGATGGCCCCTGTTCACAGAAAACCTCCTAACCTTTGGCCTGTAGTGTCTGGTTTCCTGGTATTACCAGGTCTGGATGTTCCCATGATGCAACAACACTGAGTTGGATTTTAAAGTTACACTGGATATAGAGAGAGACTGAATTTCTCTGGCCACCTCCCCAAAATGAAAAAAGGTGGGAGAAATTTCCACAAAGTCCTTCCACCTCCATGCTTGAAAGCAGTTTGTAGCCATGCCCTCCCTAGGTAGCGAGGCACATGGTCCAGGTGGGGCCCATTAGGAACTGATTTACCTGCGGGCAGTGGTGAACATAGTTTGGTTCAACCCCCATGACTCCACCTGTTAAAGAGAGGAGTCAGGCTGGAATTTGACAAGACCTCTCTTGTCCTGGGTGAGTACATCTCCACTCTTCTAAAAGTTACTGAGCAAGAAGGTGGGAACTTCTGTTCTCTGATATTCTGGCAGCATCGTCTGTGAAAGGACAGAATGGTGGGATAAGAATGGGGTGTGGTCTTATTGGCTGAAGGGGAGAGGTGGATACAACTCCCAACAGTGTGATCTAGTATGTTCTTTGGGGTGAAGAAACAACCTTAAAGTGCCCAATCCAAAAAACAGAGCACCAAAATACTAAAATTCTGACAATAGGCAATAATATATAGATAGACTTTTTTCATTTTCAATTATAAATCCTCCATACTAAGGCTTAAGTTTCAATCACCTAATTGAAAATCCATACATAAACATTACAATAGAAATAAAGAACATGAAGACCTCTAAAAACAAATGTTCACACGGTGAGAGCATCCATCCCTCACTTGGTAACTTCACAAGATGCACTGCTTACCCTTTACTAGTAGAATTAGACACAGCAAGCTAAGCAATATATGGAATTATTTAGGATGGATGCTAGACTCCTATTGCTTTAAAAATTGACATGCTTCCAAGCTCCACTGGCAGGAATTTATATCATACCTTCCAGAGTGATTATTCTTCCTACCAAAATTTGTGTGTCCCACCTTGTTATCAAAGGAATTTAAGATTGCTTGGTTTCAGTCAATCATTTTTTTCTTTAACCTATAGCAAGACATTAGAAGCAGATAGTGATAAGGATACTTTCTGTCCAATTTTTGTGGAAGCACCATTCAGCAGATGGAGGCTGCTTCTTATACACTGGAAAAACCTTGCTCTCGAGTGACTTAACAGAGAAGACAATAAACAAAATTGGGTATTTCGTTAGACATGTAGATAGATAAATGGTTTAAATAGATATTATTTTTTGCACTGCTGACAAGTACTCAAAACTCTGGAGCAGGTGTTGGTGTAGTTGAGAAGATTTCAGTGTCTTTCTCACATTATTGAACAAACTTTCAAAATTGTTTTAAAGCCACTGAAAATGGCTGGTATTCATGGAGCATGGAAACCATGGTTTACAATTAGAATGTCAAAGTTTCACCATTGTCTCTCTACTCATCAAGGCACAAGGACAAGTTCCAAACTTTTCAGAGCAGAGCATTTGGTACCACCAGGAGATAGAAAATCAAGGAGTGGAGCCACATGCCAGAGCCAAGAATGGGAGATTCTTTGGGGTGGCCATGATATTCAAATATTGAGCTTAAACCACCAGCGAGCTCACATCACACCAAGGGCAGGGTCAACAGGAAGGTCTTCTAACCCAAGTGCCTTGGCCCATTATGCAAAAAGAGCACACTTTGCACCATTCCTGACTTCGCAGTCCAGCTCCTTCCTACCCTGGGCACAGGAAGAAGGTCTAGAATACTCCTGTGAAGGTTTGCAAGAATGCAGACATTCTATTATGACAATGACCGAAGGGCAGGAATGAAGTCAGTAGCCCTTGATTAAAGTCTGCAGAGAAGTCAGATTCTTGATGGACCCTGTTACTTCACCAGCAATGGCCTCAGAGCATTAAGGAAAATGAGAGCCTGTCCCCTTTCCTTCTCATCTTGCTATGACCCCAAAGAGCAGATATTGTGACTATCTTCTGTATAACATATTCTCCACCATGAAACATTATCAAAAGGAAAACAATCTAATTTTCTTCCTTTTTTTGTTTGGAATATTCAATTTGTATTTTCTGATAGCCCATTACATTCTTTCAGTAGGAAAAGATATTTCACTTCTAAAAATGCATCAGAGTGTAATTAAGTCTAGGCTAACAGGTAGGTAGATTTCTCTCTAGAGTTCATACTCTCTGACGACCACCTTCAGCATCTGCAGAAAAGCCTCTGTGATTTGTCTCTGTTTCATCAAACTGTGGGCAACACTGCTGCCAGCTTCTGAAATACAGAAGACAGCAGTCATAAGCTGCACAGGATGCTGTGTCCACAGGCTCATGATTTCATTGTGCAGATGGGCACGACAATGACAAGAATGACTGTACACGCAGCAGCGGTGATCAGAGCAGCTATCTTGCAGACCTTGGCTCGTCTGAATTCGGCCTCTTTCCGTTTTAGTAATGAATCGTAGCCTGGCGTGTAAATATCTTCCATCCAATATTCTAAGTTGTTAGGATTTAGAGATTCTTGTGTCTAAGAGTGAAGAAAAGATGTTAGAAACGTGGTGAATGCTTGAGACCAGGTCAAAGACATTCTGACAATTCAGTCACAGCTGAAGCACTTAACAGTTGTCTGCAGCTGGCAGCTGGCAATGATGACTATGTCATAGGACACTGCCCAGCCCTGAGCCTTCGGTGGGCTACCAAGGACTCATCCTGCACATCACAGATGGCACTGGCCACCCCGTGCTAAAAATTTCATGACAGACTTGACACCGGGAACCTAAGGGTCAACTGTCCACAAGCAAACAAAACAAGGCCGGAACAAACATGCTTTAAACTTCAAGGATGTACAGCCCAGAGCAGGCTGCCCCCGTGTTAGGGAAGAAAGGAAAGTCACTGAGAAATATTCTCTACCAACAGGCACTAAGGACAAATCTGCTTAAAAGCAAGGCCCTCATATCCAAGTCACTTCTCATTTCTGGGAAAAGCTTCTACTGAAAATCAAAGGCACCTCCAAGATAAGCAGTTCAAACAAAACATAAACTATTTCGGCTCCAAACATTTGCTCAAATTCCAGCTTTACAGACCCATGGCAGACTGTCCTCAACCAAGGGACAATTGCAGATTTCCTGCAGCTTCCCTAAAGAGACAGTCCCCCACTAACAACTGTCCCCCCAGTCTTCCCAAGATTAATGAACTATCTGCAAGAGAAATCTCATATTTAACCTACATTGCCCATGAATCCTGCTCCATGTAGGTGGTTATAATCTATTTCACGAAGAAAAGCGGTGTGCTCATTTTATGGCATTTGATAGTCTAAGTGTCACATAAAAGCAACAGTACATTGCAGTTCCAAGTAAGGTCACCTAAACCTCTGAAATACAAACCATTTTGAAGGTGTTTTGAAGGTGTTTCTTAGATTGTTTAATATCCCAAAACATGGGCATATTAAAAGTCACACATACACAGAATCAAAAACAAACTCTTTAACACTAAAAAACTCAACTGTGCCAAGTTGTTGGTGAGACAGAAATGCTTCAAATGCTTGCTAGTAATTTTCTGCCGGCCTTTCCAGATGCATCCTTTGCTCTGTGCCCCTTGGAGAACGATCAGTATGGATATAGTGTGGGGGGCTCCCTTGCTATCCAGCTCCTCTGTGGGTTCGTCAGAGGGCATAGGAGGAGAGAAAAGGGAGACATTTATTTCCTCAGCCCTCTCCCTGCTGGGCAGCTCTTGTCAGACTCCAGCTCCCAGAGCCATGGGTCTCAGTGGGTTTCAGAAAGAGCTCCCTGCTAAGGGCCCTTCAGACCCCCCATGCTTCTGTGGCAAAAGTTCCTCCCTGGTGCTGGCCCCTGGGTACTTCACTGGTTCTTGCTGGTTCTAATCCTGCTCACACCATAGTAAACAGTCCTCTCTTTGCCAGTCTCCCATCATCCCTTGGAGTACACCCTCTGCTTCCTGAAGGGTGGTGACAACTCACTGTCACACACCCCAGGCTTCATCACTGTCCTGTTGTCCACTACCTTCTAGCACAGGGCTCTGTTGACTATGGCCCACCACCTGTCTGAACAGCCCTCCAACTCAGAATGAAGTTTCTATTTTTAAACCACTGAACTAAATCAAAAGAACATTTTGCATCATGTGAAAATCATATAAAGTATAAATCTCAGTGTTCAAAAATAAAGGTTTAACAGAACTTGGCCATGCCCATTCATCTACAAACTGTTGATAACTGTTTTTTAGCCACAGTGGCAGAGTGAAACAGTTGGTCAGTCTGCACAACACTGCCCAATGGAAAGAGTATGGGACTTGGTGGTGGTGGCTGTATTTTCCCAGGGCCACCTCCTCACTAAGGCATTAGGTCGAAACACTATTGTTCTATTTTTTCAAGTAATCTGGAAGAGAGAAAGGCAGCGCTAGTCACCCAAGATACCCATAATGGAAACCCAATGTAGGGAAAAGACCTTGAAGTACAAATATCTGTCCAGTCCTTCAGTCTTTTAAGAAACTCCAGTGAGTATCTCCTCTGCTGGAGTCCAGGGGCCTCTTCTTTGAGCTGCACTGAGTAACTCTGCAATGGCCCAGCTTTGCTTTTAGAATCTGTGTCCTTATGCTCAAGCTACAGCCCCCTACAGACAGACAGACAGACAGACGGCCACACACACACACACACAGAGTGCTGCCCTCCATGAACACCTGGAACCAGTCTATTCTCCTTGTCATGAAAGCCCTGTAGTAGTTGAATGGACACTCAAGAAGGAATAGATGGGCCCAAGACGGGCTGACTTTGCTGAAAGACTAGTCTTCTGTGGTGGGTAATGTGCCCACAAAGATTGGGTTTGGGCTGAGGACTACAGACTCAGACCTCCCTGCTCTGGTGACATTAGGGTAGAAACAAGCTGTTCTCCTCCCAGTCTTCCCAGGGCTGGCCCAGAAGGTACCCAGTGTGTACAGAACACATCAGATTTTGCGCTTTGTGCCCTCTGGCTCAGAGAGAGGGAAATTGGCCTCCTTTCACAGCTCTCTACACTTTATTATGGGCTGGGAGTCTGCTTGTGAAATAAACTATTTTTAATTAGTTTTTTCAATAACTGCAAGCTCTAATGGTGCCACACAGCAGAGAGGTAATACTGAGGTTCCCAGGGACACCGGCAAGTGTACTCAGTTGTTAATTAGGCCTGCCAAAGACTGGGAATAAAAACAGACCTGCACCTTTGCCTCCACTCAAGTGATCACTGCTGATGGTGAATTTACATCTTGACCACAAAAGATCCCAAAAAGATTGCTCAGGGGCTAAGGATGACCAGAAACAGTACCTGAGCCTCTGCAAAGCAATAAAAAAATAAAAGTAATGACTTTGTGCCTCCACTGAGCTCCCAACACCTGCTCTGCTTTGCTACAAACACCCTTGAAGGGCATTGAACTCTGTTTCCCCTGGATACTCAGTCCTACGAATTGTTACATAGGGTCACCTTAACCTCTGTAACCTAAACACATACTTTTATCTATTTTTTATTTAGTCTTTATGCTTATAAACATCAGCACGTTAAAATCTGTAGGAGCAAAATTTCCCAACTTCCTTGCCCTAAACCTTTAAAAGATGTTCAATTTCATACAATTCATCTGACTCTTTCAAAGTCACTTCCAAGGTCATGGTGTCACCTTGGTTATTCCACAAGGTGAGCCATTCACACCGCTGGGACCTTTCTGGCTGGTGGCTTGCTGTAGTCTTATATCCACAGAATGAGGTGTCCTGCTCATGGCAAAGCTGCACAGGGGTGCACCTTCAGGAAGCTCAAATCCTTGTCTAGCCTTCTTGCCAGCAGAAAGGTGACAGGAGAGGTGGTGGCCCAAAGAGACAAGTGACATGGTGTCCACATGGGGACACAATATGCACAAAGTCAGAGGGGAGAGGAGGGGCTTGGGATGCTTCTGCTGCTACCAACAACCTCATTTTCAGGACTGGGCCAGAGCTGCTCCTTCTCATAAATCGCTGTCATCTAGGACCCCAGATGCAAATCTCATCAATCAATTTTTTGTGATATGAAGCTCCCTTAAACTCTTAACAGAAACTGAAATGGTGAAAGAGAAAGACTTATTGTGGGTGGGCCGGTATGGACCCAGATTTGTTTGGCCTGGGCAAGTCACTGAGCTTCCTGGCACTTCTGTGTCCTCATTTGTAAACCAGAGATGGTCAGAACAGTCCCTGCCTCACAGGCCACTGTGCCAGAACTGAAACTGCTGGGAAAAGCACCGTGTAAAGCTGATGGACTGCAGCATCCGGGTACCATCTCCCAGTGCCTTCTCTGCTGGTGCCTACTCAATGCCAAGCACTTCCTCTGTACTGCTGTCAGTTCTTACAATAGTGCGGTTGAGTTTGATATTTTCATGCCCATTTCAAAGCTCAAGCAGGTGAAGGGAACGCTTCGGGGAGCACAATAAAGGAGCCTTGAATTAGATCCCAGTGCTGTGGAGCCTCAAGTCTTTCCTCTGCCCCACACTGTGCTCCTCGCAGACCTCTTTCACAGCAAGGCTATTACGGGGCAGTCTTGTTATCTTGACTCTAAAGGCAGCTCTTACCAACTGCACTTCAAGTGCATGGGCATTCTGGAGGTGACTGGAACTCTTGGTGGCCTCACTGCCCACAAAGCTAAGCCCACAGGTAAGGGATCAGGTGATTTCTTTGCTTCATGGTAATGTGGAGACACAGAAAGATGTGGCATGAATGGAACCAGGCGCAGCTGCCCACAGAAATAAAATTGTGGCCAAAACCCAGCCCTGCCTGTGGGTAAACAAAAAAACCATGCCTCTAGCCACAATAGTATGCACAGAGCTTCCGGGGACGGCTCTTACCTGGGGCTGCTCCATATGGAAACATAGTCCATAGCTTGGCTCCCACAAATATGCTTATCCCACGTGCTACATGCGGAAGGAGAAATCAGCTTGTGTTTCATTAAACAGTTTGGCTTGTGTTTTGTGAGCAAAGGTTAGAATTGCACTTGGTCTTAAATGCAGCATTAGCAAGTCAGATGGTCAACCGATAGGTAAATAAAGCAAGCATTCCCACTGCTAAGTGCTTACAAACAAAGGAGCAAAACAAAACAATAATCCCCTCGTTAAAAATCTCCTCTGCTCTCCGGTTTATTGAAGTTTGGAGTTACAAGGCAGGGACCCAGGGAGACGAAGGGTGAGAGAATGGGCTGGTCTAAGCCATCCTTGACGCATTCCTGCACCTGCCAGAGCACACGCCTGGCTCCCCACCACCCACCCACCCCGGGACGGTGAGACGCTCACCTGCAGGTCCAGGGCTGTCAGCTTGCCCTTGTCACCAGTGTTCCTTGCATATTCCTCAATGGTCCAAGAGGGCTGGCCCCGCTTCACCTCGGCCAGCTCGGTCAGCCGCATGTCCGTGTACAGCGGGTTGCTCTTCAGGTGGGCCTTGAGGGAAGTGGGGTAGGGGTGAGGGCTGAACACCTGCTCCACCAGGAAACCATCTTTGGGCGGCTTGGGCAGTCGGTGCTGCGGGGGAACATCATACTGCCTGTCTGCCTGCAGAGGGGCACAGAGAAGTCCAGAAAAGCCACACAAATGCCACCGGGTCTCACAGTGCAATTGGGCAGCCAGCAGTTTTCTATCACTAGGCCTTGTAGACATCCGGGTATCAACATGCAGCTACTCTGGAACGCAGAAAGCACAGCTGTGCTGGGGAAATCCCCTAGGAGAAGCTTCTGATCCTCCTAGCACTGACAGGAGACCCTTGCTACCATCATGAACTCCCACTCCACAGACAGGACAACTGAGCCCAGAAAGACTCAATCACTTGCACCAGAGCACAGAGCCTAGATGAGCTGTGGCCAGGATGTAAGCCTGGTCAGCTGGCTTTAGGATGACTTAGATTGACTACCTGCTTTTTCTTTTATCATTTTATACCTGGACCCAGTGAGTAAAAGATATAGGTCTTTCCTACAAGGAGCTGGCTGAAACCCCTGCTGAGATGCTCCTTCTCTGCAAAGCAGAAGTCAGGCAGAAAAACCCATGTGGGAAGTAGCCAGTGACTGTCCCTGTTGGCAGGTGGCCTTTCAGGGCATCTGCACAGTGTTTAGATAAGGGATCAGTGTGGCAGTAGTGTGGAGGTGTGGAGGTGCCTCACACAGCTCATTGTCCTTAATGTCCTCAGTCCCTGAGATGCAACCAGGGACTCTGTTCTCCATGCACCAGTTATAACAGGGTCTCTGACACTTCCCATGTCTACCTTCAGCCCTCAGATTTCCACACGGCTGCCTGCCCCTCCAGCAAGCACACCTTGACCCACCAGGCCTGGGATGGTGCTGTTCTATGCCATCACATGGACTGTGCACCAAGTCCTCAGCCAGCATTTGTCACACTGAACTGTGACTGCCTGACTGCCCACCCGTCTCCTCCACCAGAGTGTGAGTTCCCTGAAGGCAGGAGACTATCTTGTTCACCTTTTCATCCTGGCTCCATAAAATGGTACCACCAAGTAGAAGATACTCCACCATTGTTGTCAAAGGGATAGTAACCGATGAGGTGAAGCTGGGTGTATGAAAGAGACAGCGAAAAATGCTGCATATGTGAATCGAGAAAGAGAAAAGGACAAAACAGAAGGTGAGTGAGCGCCGGCTGTGTACATAAGTAGGAGGAGGATGAGTTCAGCTGTGGTGAGAGGGACACGCGAATGTCATGAGCAAATGTGTGTGGTGTGGTGTGTGAGCGTGTGTCCCACGTGCACAGGGGCCAGAAACACATGCCCACCTGTCAGCACACTCCCCCTTCAGATCCCACTGAGGCAGTCTAACACTCAGGCCTGACACAAAGAACATACAACAGACTTCACTAAACCCAAACAAGGAAACAGGTTCCCTCCTGCTTCCAACTCATTGAAGCTGCACTGGTTTTACTTATTCTGCTCATCACCAGTCAACATTTATAGAGCGTCTAGTGCATGCTGGTCCAGCGTCAAGCTGGGGGAGGGGAAAATGGCAATAATAATAACTGCAGTGGCTGTACTGCTATCATAATGACCATGAACCAAGGGCTAACTGTGTCCACCATAGCTCTGATCTATCCACCTGTACTCTCATTTCATCCTCTCATTCACTTCTGGAGTCATAACTGTAATTAATGTCATTATGGATGTAGAAACTCAGATCAGAGAGGTTGAGAATCTGATTCAATGCTACACAGCTAATAAGTGGCAGAGCCAGGATTCAAACTTGCTCTCACTTCTAAGACAGAATATTAAATTGCTGCCCATGCCTGTTGCCACCCCTGAGGAGTTTATGTTCTAACTTGGGAGCCAGTGTGTATATGTAACATACATTTTAGTAAATGTTTGTGCCTGCTACATCTGAACAAAGAGGACCAAAGGTTAAAGACCAGAGACCAGCGATAACCCCCAGGGAAACTTCCAGATATTTATCAATTAAGAGGCCCTAAGGGTGTACAGGACCCAGGTCAGCCCAGAGGAGGGAGGTAAGACATTCTTCATGGAGGAACCATGTGAAGAGCAGTATGATGGTCATCGTAGACGTTCAACTAGGATTTATTGGATTGATGACTAAATGATCACAGCATTTTTGAGGAAATACAGGTAGACTCATCAAGGTACAGCAGGCCTTACGGTATAATAGAGCTTTCTAGTTGGGAAGTAGTACAAGAAGTTCACTGGTCCTTTCTAGCCTTGGTTAAGAAGTTTGAAATTTTCTTGAGGCCAAGGGGAGCCAAAGAGGAGTTGGGAATAGGAGGTACTACACAACCACAGAGAGTGGAGTTTTAGAAAATGAACACAGCAGTGGCCCATGAGATGAAGTGGAAGGGATAAGTGGTTCCCCAAACCCCAGGTGGGATGTGCTAAGGCTGAACCAGTGGGGGTTGAATGGAAAGCAGGCCAGAGATATAAGAGATATCACAAGAGATAAACTTGCAGGGCCATAGAGGGAAACCAAAGCTCAGAGGGGCCTTTTCAGCAGGGAGGACTGCTAGAATGGTGACCCTCCCCAAATGGAGGTACCGAGAAGAAACACTGGCTTTGAAAGAACAAAGAAGTCTGATGTGAGACCTGTAGTCCATGGTAGGCAAGACATTTGGGGGAACTGGCCTTCAGTGATATGAGATATGGGACTGACACTCAAAAGAGGGGCCTTGGCTCATCACCACCACAGGAAACATCAGCCTGGCGTGATGAGAGCCAGGAGGAAAATCCAGCATCACAGAGGCAACACAACAAGGACCAAGTGTTAACAACTCTGTGCAAGGCGTTTCAAGGAGATCTTACTTGACTTGTGACTACTCCTGCTGGCTTGGTGAGGTCTTGCACTTAATAGATTGTTGGCCTAGCTGCTGTCATTTCATTTACAAGAGCACCTGACCAACTGGGTCCCTAAATGGTCACTTTTCAAAGATATCTAAGATCCAGGGCTCCTGAAACCTGGCCTAACCCTGGCAACCAAGAGATAAGGTTGATGGAACCCAGGGACAGGGACAATATCTGGACATCTCGTCAGGGTAACATCAATATCATCCTCAGACTCTTCTTCAGTGCCATCCAGGGCCAGCTACAGAAGGACAGACCCATGACCAGCACGGACACCAGAGCAACTCAGCAGCCTACCCTTTGTCATTCCCTCTCTCTGACAGTCTAGTCCTCAGAGACTTCAGGAAGTCCTGCAGCCAATCCAATGACCGTGAGAAGCAGCAAAGGGAATTGGAGGCATGCAACAAACAGAAATCACATCACCTGGCCAGAACCCATTCAAGAGTGAACAGGGCAACCGCAGGTCCCACTGAGAGAAATCCTCTTGGCTATGCACAGCTACTCAGGAGGCAGAGATCAGGAGGATGGCAATTCCAGGCCAGTCCTGGGCAAAAAAATTAGACCCTATCCAAAAAAATAATTCAATGCAATAAAAGGGCTGGAGGCATGGCTCCAATCGTAATGCAGGGTCAAAACCTAGTACTGCAAAAACCTCATCCTTTTAAGAGGCGCATCATGCAGGAGCAAAGTCCGTGAAAGAGACAAACCAACAAGCATGTTTGCAAACCATTTCCCCTGTCTGTCTGGCGTGGGTCCCATTACTTCAGCAAGGACAGGAAGCCATCCTTGGGGAGGCTCTGAACATCACACTCCCCATGCTATGAAATCTGTTCTTACACCACCTGTCCAATCTCCCAAGCACACTGTCTACTGCCGGCCACATCACAGCATGAGCTCCACCCAGATGACTGACAGCTTAGCAGGACAAGCAACCGGCCGGAGTCATCCTCTGTTCTAATGTGCAGAGCGTGCCAAATCTGGAAGCACATGGAGGTAAGTCCACCCTCTTGCTTAATGGAATATTTGAGGCTTTGAAATACCAGGGCTATGGCAAAGCAGGTGCCAATTATGGAAACTTAAATTTCAGTTACCTCTTTGGATTTCCGATGCCAGTCTTTGTTACCACCCGGGCCTGCATCTTTTATCTCCTCCTCATTCAGACTCATGCGGTTGGTGTAAGTGATGGTTCGCCAGTCTCTGGGCGAGTTAGAGATGCTGGCAATTTTGGACTCGGTGGCGCTGTTCTCCTCGGTCAGGGACCTAGAGGACGGCCTGGTGAAGAGGCTTTTTTTTAGGGCCTTGACACGCAGGCTTTCGCTGTTGCTTCCACTGGCATCAGAGCAGCACCAGTCAGGGTTGGTTTCCAGCTTGGGTCCATGGGAGCCATTGTGTGCACGGAACACCCGCGGAGAGGCACTGTCATCAGATGGGGCCTCACTGGTCAAGGAGTTCAGATCCATAGGCACGGTCACCTTCTCTGGCTGCTGTAGCTTCTGATTCAGTTTATTTAGTTTGCCCAGGACCTGGGAGATTTCCTCCCGGACACCTGAAAGTGACTCGAGCTTCCGTTCAATTTCACCAATCCTGAGCACCAGTTTGCACACACTGGTCTTCAACTCTTCTTCCGAGTGGTGGATGTTTTCAGGCCGGTTCCCCTTGTCTCCCTTGCTGTTGGGGACCCCATTGGTGATTTTGGTGAGGTTGTGCTCTGGGGAGCTGTCACAGTCCGACTTATGAAGCTGAGACAAGGAGCCAGTGCTGTTATAGCAGGATGACTGTATCACTCCCGTAGAACCACTGATGCTCATGTCATCAAGAAATCGGAAAATGTCACTGATGTCATCGCTGATGATTTCCGAATCGTCATCTGAGTGCTTCATGGCATGCCTGTCGCTGTACTTGCCCTGACCGGAGGCGCACAAGTCTTTGCATTTCTTGGACTCAAGCACATGCTGCTCAGTCTGGGTACCAACGCTGCTAGTGTCTGAGCTGAGTTGTCCGCTGGTGCAGCTGATGCTCTTGTCTTTAAACTTCTTCACAGCGTCGTGCTTCTCCAGGTCAACAGGGGATGGAATCTCTTTAGATTTGAGCCCATTTGGTTTCGCTGCATAGCCAACAGGGAGAATTGGCTGTTGATCCTTTGGCACCAGGTAAGTTGGGCGCCTGTCTGGGGCTGAGAAATTGGGGGTCTGGCTGCCAGAATTTGGGTAGCGTAGCTTCTCCTCGGAGGGATTTCTATTGAAAAATGAACGTTCAAAGTCAGGGACTTCCTCAGTGTTTAGGCTCCAGCTTTTGGCTGGCCATGGGGTCTGTTTACTGGGCCTCCCTGGACAGCGCCTGGCATCCTGGGTTCCCATCACTGGAGTGGGTCCAAAATAGGTCGAGGCTTGGAGGTCATCCAAGCTTTCATGTTTCACCCGCCTTTTGTCGGGAACAGGGGAATACACAGGGTTCAGGTACTGGCTGTGATAAGGCATCTCAAAGCTGTGATTGAAGAAGGGTGGCTTATGGGGCTCCTTTCGGCTCTGGGGCTCCCCACGCTCACCTTCTGCTTTTTTGGTGGGGCCAACCAAACTGGGGGATACAGCCATGAGATTGTGAAAGTCCTCTTTGAAGATGTTCCTTTTCTGAACACAGGACTGAACCATGAAGGGCTCCTCATTAGAGATGAAGGTTTCTTTGATGCCCTGGCTGATAGGCAGGGAGTCCTGATCCGAAATGGACTCATTCTCAATGTTCATGGGGAAGTACGTCCTCTGCATCTCACAGGGCTGAGGGCTGGCCACCGAGTATGGGGACAGGGCCTGCAGCCTGTCCAGGGAAGCAGCTCGATTTTTTCCTTCTTTGCTGACCCCCAACAAGAAGTTGGGCTCAGAGGCGGGGACAAACTGTGGGCATTCCTTGCAGTCCATCTTCCTGCACTTGGATGACTGCCTGGTGGGGTAGCCCCGGCTGAAGGGCCTGTCACTCAGCTCACAGTTCAGGGGCTCACACTCGGCATTGCAGATCTCCGTGTCTGACCTGCAGGACTCAAAGGATGCCTCCTTCTTGCGCCCCTTCTGGCCCATAGGCAGCTTCTCCTTGGCAGCCCCCCCATTCATTTGGATCAGATTGAAGATTGTCACGATATCCGCCGCCACCATGATTTTCTTTGATTGCTGGTTATTCACGGTGCACTTCATCTTGTCTTTGAATAATGTGGCTGGAAAATTGGGATCCAGACAAGCCGTGTAGAAGAGCACACTTCTTAGCTTGGCGAGCTGTGACAGATCAAAGCGAGCACATAGTGATTTGCACAGGTCCTGGTAAGAAACGGTATTTTGCTTGCTGTCCAGTTCCTCCAAGATCTTCATCAAGAAGAGGGAAGTTTCCTGGTTGGCCTCCATCATGATGAAGTTTGAAAGCCCACTGACTACACTGAAACTTCTGGCCAGTTCTACAGTGATATGATCAGAAAAGAGAGGGAGGAAGAGAAGGTTATAAATACCAGTGGGTTTAAAGTCCAACTTGTTAAGCACTTAAAGAAATATGGGGAATAGTTTTTTCATTTGAAACTATTCCAGGAATGGGAGGAGGAGGGATAAAGTAGAATGATAAAGAGGGATGAATTCAAGTATGATATATTTGATGTATTTTAAGAACTTTTGTAAATGCCACAATGTACCACCACCCAGCACAACAATAAAAAAAGAAATACAGGGAAAACACTGTAATAACTAAAAATATATTAAGGGCTTTGAAAATATTCATAACATTTGACTTAGTAATTCCCTTCCCAGGAATCTCCTTCCCAGGAATCTCCTTAAAGAAATAATGAATAACTACAAACTGCATAAAGATGTATAGATGTTCAATACAATGGTATTTATACCAGTGAAAAAAAATATAAATATCCAAATACTAGAGAATACATAAATAAAGCAGTTTATGATATAAACTTTTTGAATG